ATTGTTACGATTATCCTCGAAACCTTGAGGGATTTCCCAAATATACTCGGGCTCGTATCGCTGGATTGTTAAATAAATGCTAACGATGACCAAATTGTAGTACAATTAACTTTATTGTCCAACAAACAATTTACAATACTTGCTAATACAGTAAAAACACTTTACAATACTTGTTAAAGCAATAACAACGCTTTACTACTTGTTAACACAATTAAACTTATAGCTTGCTTATTCGCAACTCAATTCTCCGCTCACTTTGCTTGTAGCTTGCTGTCTTGTAACTGTCTCCACTCCGCTGTGTCGTGGCTCTTATATACCTGCGCTCACACTTATGGCAACTCTAGAACGTTCTGAAGTTTATCGCTCATTCTCTTTCTCTCGCTGTTCGCAGTGTTCATCCAACTTGACGTTTCTCTTTGTGGAACATTCTACGTCATTCCTCGAACATCCTGCCTATTTCTCGTTGTGTTGCCGCAGTATTCGCCACACTGCCCTCCACCTAAGTCTGATCGTCCCGATCAGACACACTTGCCACTCCAACCGCTGCAAGTCTTTCCAAGTGGACCACTTTCATCTTGGTCCTCGGTCTCCCCATTGTCTGGATTTGATGCACTGCCTCCTTCAGCCGCTTGTCAATCTTCGAATCTTTCCAGTCACGTCTTTGCTTGGAGTTGAAGCTTTTCTTCTGCTGCGGCATGTGCAGCAACACCGAATCACCTTCCTGTAGCTCTTCTCGGCTCGATGCGTTACTGGACATTGCTTCCAGCTTATCTCCGGTGGTGCACCATCTCACATGGTCGTGCTTCTGCCGGCCACTGGTGGTGACCAGACCATGTCTCTTCTCATGGGCACCCTTTTCGCCAGATCTATGCCGCATCATCTGTCCATGACACCCAGACTCCCGCCTTCGTGCTGCACTGCCTTCAGCACATCTTGTTACATCCGGATCCTTACGCTGAAGCTTCCGCCGTCGTTTCGTATCTCGCTCTTCCGCCGATGCTAACTTCATTGACCGGACATGTATAATCTCACCCTTGGCTTCCGGCTTAACTGCTCGCTTTTGCCGACCACCTTTTTCAGGACACTTCAAACCGCGCCTACTGCTACCACAGCCGCTTCCATTTCCGGCCACCGGCGTATCACCATTGCAACGTGGTTCAGTGGCCTTCCTCCTGCCGGATACACTGCCTGGCTCGCCATGACCACTACCTTGTTGCGACCTTTTCTTCACTGAGCTAGCGGAACCGTCACGCTTTTCCTGTATCGGTGAACCGCTTCCTTCTCCTGACGAAACCACTCCGTTTCCATCACTGCCAACCTCCGCCCAACTAACCGCTTCCGTTTCTGGTGGAATCTTCGGCACTTCCTCTAAGACCAACCGTCTGCTGAAGCACTGGTTGTCGTAACCAACCCTAAGTGGCACTTTCCTGTCGCCATAGGTTAGGATCATTCCCTGGAGGTCAATCTTCATGCCTTGCCCAAGTAGGAAATCCACGCCGATGATGACTTCATCCACAATGTCTGCGACAATAAACTTCGTGTACGAGGCCAACCCGTCGATTATTACCTCGCATAGTACTTCTCCTAACACTTGGGTTCGCTCACCAGTTGCAGTCTGCAGCTTTGCTCCAGGTAGTGGCTTCACATAAAAAGTAGTCACATCAGGTCGAATAATGGAATGTGACGCTCCAGTATCCACTGTCAGCACTCGCTCCTGCCCATTCACACATCCACCAATAGTGAGGTTGCTCGCATTCCGGCCAATTTGGGAGACGGAGATTATGGGCCCTTCAACTTCTGGAGCCAGCACGCGGCCCTTGCTGCTGGCTCGTTTTAGTTTAACGACTGATTGGAGTCGGGCTCGTCATCCTCAGTCCTGCGTTTACGTACTGCTGAACTGTTTGACCTGTTGGAACCCGTCTTACATTCGCGTGCGAAGTGGCCTGGTTTTCCGCAACTAAAACATTTTCTAGCACCATCCTTCCTCTCGGTTGCACCAGGAGTATTCTTCCCTGCCATCAACTTGAGTGTTTTCAGGATCTCGTTCATCACGTCAGGTGTTTCCACTTCTACTCGATGGGCTTTGTAGGCTGGTCTACTTAGGAGCGCTGCCGTTTCACGTGTCTGAGCATACGAGACCGTTTCAGCAAATGTTGGCTTTGGATTTGCATACGTCTCGCGCTTGGTATACACGTCCCGCATTCCGTTGATGAACCTCTGGATTTTTACTCTTTCGAGGTGCTCACCAGATGCATCTCCAATTGCCAAATGAGCCAACCTTTCAACCTCAGAGGCGAATTCCTGTAAAGTCTCATTGGATTTCTGGCAGCGATTCTCCAGTTCCATCTGGTAAATTTGTCTCCGGTGCTCGCTACCATAACGTCTTTCCACTGCACCCATTAACGCATCGTAACTGTTCCTTTCACAATCAGGAATAGTCTGCAAGATTTCCGCTGCAGGTCCTTTTAATGCAACGAACAGCGCAGCGGATTTATCCTCCATGCTCCAGTGATTTGCTGTAGCTGTCTTCTCAAACTGGAGCTTAAAGACTTGGAAAGGAATCGTGCCGTCAAAGGATGGAGTCTTTACCTTGGGCGCGCTGGTCGAAGAAGGTGGGCGATTCAACTGCATATCTCGGAGGCGACCTTCCAACTCTTCTACCTTAGCCTCGACTTTCTCCTGAATTAGCTCTTCGATTTTATCTTGTCGTTCCTCGATTTTATCCTGTCTCTCTCTGAGTTCCGCGTTATCTTTAAATAAATTCTCTTGTAGCTGAGTAATCTTTTCATCTAGCTGCGATGACATGTACGTTTTCTGTGCTTCCAGCTGCGAGGAAATCTGTGATGACAGCTGTGATGACATCTCTGACATGCGTGTATCCTGTACTTGCATCATCTGTGACATGGCAGCCAATAACGTGTTCATGTCCATAACTGTTGATGACGAAGGAGCCTTTTGCTGTTCTTCAACCTTCCCGGATGTCTGTTGCATATCCTTCGACGAACATGCAGCCTCATCTTTCTGTTCGTCCATTGCGGATGTATCGTCGGGTTTACCTTGGAAGTCGTATTTGTCCACGTCGATGCCTTCAGCTTCCATAGCCTCTCGCAACCGGGATAACAATTCCACTTTTCTTCCGGAGGTGGCCAAATTACGCTTTTCCAACTCCTGTTTCAGCTCCTCAATCTTTAAGTCCTGAGTTTTCGCCATTTTCAGTAGTTTATCCTTCGGGATTTATTTAACAATCCCACTTCTGACACCAATTGTTACGATTATCCTCGAAACCTTGAGGGATTTCCCAAATATACT